TAAAGTATACACTGTACACACACTCGTGGTACGCAAGGTGCTTCACAATGACATGGATTGACAAATGCTACACACACACGCAAAAGACATTGGTAGTGAGTTGGTCAGGCGGTTCAGGTAGGCCAGTGGGGAAATATTGAGCAAACATCAGTATGGGGCACAGGCAGGCTTTATAGCTGGGCCTTTCTCCAGTAATTTACTAATGAGAGGCATTAACCTCGACATAACAACAATCTCTCTCTCTCTCTCTCTCTCTCTCTCTCTCTCTCTCTCTCTCTCTCTCTCTCTCTCTCAGTATCTATTCTAATCAAGCGATTCCACGATGAAATAAAAGGTGGTTTGTTAGAGAGGAGAGCCCAGCTGCTACAATCATTGAGAAATGTACACTTTAAAGCATTTTTGTGCCAAAACATTACATGATAACACCATGTCTCCCCCTCTCTCTCTCCCACTGTAGTTGGATGATTTTTATGCAGAAATGAAATGGGAATTCTACACTTGGGGTGAGGTGTCCCTTTTCTTGTCATAGTAATTATGTCATTGTATGATTGTCCTTTATCAATAGTGCCTCTTCTCTCTCGTCTCCTTCCTAATGATATTTGTCGTATTTATAAAACAGATACAGCCATTAGGTAAAGAGAGAAAACAATGCCCTTTATACTTCTTTCTTCTTTTGTTATACATGTACGTCTTCATTTTTTGTGTCTCTGTCTCTCTTTTTCTTTCTTCCTCTTTCTCCCTCATCTTTTTCCTTTTCTCTCTCTCTCTCTCTCTCTCTCTCTCTCTCTCTTTTTCCCACTCTCTCCCTCTCTCTCATAAGGTTGGACTCCACTATTGGTGATTTCACAGAGATGCAGTGGTCCAGAGGTGACATTAGTTTCATATACAATGGAGAAACGGCCGAAGGGCTGTCAGTGGTGGCACTCGACAACAAAAAGAAAATCTACCAGCGATTATCATTAAACAATAGCGTAATAAGAAATAAAATAATAATAACTATACTTTTAGTTCTATTGTAATTGAATCAATTAAATGTATGCCTTATATAGGAGCAGCTGTATTATTAACTTAGTTTATCAGTCTCTTTGTTTGCCATTTTGAATTAGCTAAGTTTTCAAGAATACTTGTACATGTAATACCTTATAAGGAAAAACAGTAGTACAGTCAGGCCTGTCTATTCCGGACACCTTGGGACCCAATAAAACTGTCCTTATTAAAGAGGTGTCCTTATTTCAGAGGTTCATTAATACACATTACTATTGTATTGGGACTGATACTACCTGTCCTGATTATAGAGGTGTCCTTATTTTAGAGTGTCCACAATAGCAGGTTATACTGTATCAATCTAGTTATACTATATACTGTATTCAAATCAAGTGTATCCATGTAGATGTATAAAGTGCAGTATGGCTCTTTTATTGTTATTAAAATATTCTTATTTTGTTAGGAATCAGTTGATGGCGAGGTTGAAGATCGCATTGACATGTTAATGACCAGGTATTACCATTGATGATTGATTGCTAAACTCTCACTCATTGAAACATGGTTGCCACAAATTTGTTAAATGAAAGCGTGCCAATTACTGTTAAGTAGGATTTACAATATTACGCTAGTCCTGACGTTACGTTGACGCTGGAATAGAATCTGGTTCAACTCCAGCGTGAAGCATGTGTCAAAATGTCAAATCGCCTACGCTCTTGATTAAAGATTGACGGTACGTTGGCCTAGCGTCATATCGTAAATCCGGCTTAATTTATCAAAATGGTGCATGTACATGTGCTTACGAAGTGATATTTGATATCTGTCTTCACATTCTTCTCCCCATTAGGCCAATAGTGTATGCCAACATGTCCACTCAACCCATCAATGTCACCAGGGCTCAGACCGGCTTCTTGTTTTTTAAGTCAGACAGGACAGTAAGCAGCATAATAATAATAATAATAATATATATTTATATTTTTTATTTATGAAGTAAAAGCAATGATTTGCAATAAGGAATGATGTGAAAGAGAAAGAATATTTTTGTTGTTGTTATTTTTTATTAATTATTTATTTTTGTAGGATCAAGTTGGTAATTATACTGCTGATGTGTACAACATAACTGACCTCATCTTGATATCAAGGAAACGGTAAGAGACATGAAGATTATGTTATTATTATTATTAATTATAACTATTATTATTATTATTAATTATAACTATTATTATCGAAACTTTATTATTATTTATTTTTATTTTTTTTAGTCGGGAACACTTAACTCCAGAGCAGATAAAACATTTCGAGGAATTATCCAAACAGGTAGAGTCAGGCAATATAGCAAAGGAGCTAGAAAAAGAGGTGTGTCAGTACCCCGCCCAGACCACACCCATCACATAATTTGTATTGCAGATGACTGAAGCAGAGAATTCTACGGAAGACAATGAATCAAGCGATAGCAAAGAACACTGCATCTCCCTCCCTCCCCCTCCTCCCTCCTCAATGACGTGGGATCAGTATCTGTCAAGTTCAAGGTAAGATATGCTTGCTCTTTAATTGGAAATGTGCTCTTTAATTAGAGCATGTGATGGCGGAATGATTTTTATGCATCTGTGTGATTTATAGGGTTCCTAGTTTAGGGAGGAAGATGGATTTGAGAGTTGATAGGAGGAGCTTCAGATCTACTGTCTATATGGTCAGGAGGAAGAGGGAGAGAGAGAGAGAGAGAGAGAGAGAGAGAGAGAGAGAGGGGGGGAGAGGGAGGGAGGGAGGGAGGGAGAGAGAAAGAGACTGATTTTTATTTATTAATTTTTGCCTTTCTTGTATAGTGTAAAGATTGCCCTATTGAAATGAAAAAGTAAGTCAAGTCCTTCTCTCTTTTTCTATTGTCACTGGTTGCTATGGCATTACTATGGTAACACAATAGGTTGTTGGACATTCTTGAGGTCATAGCACCGTATAAACACTTTCACAAGTTGAGACAGTTTGTTAATTTAAAATTACCGCCTGGCTTCCCTGTTAAATTAGGTAAGCTTGTTCTCCTCTTTATTTTACTCTCTTCCCCCCCCCTCTTCCTCTCTCTCTCTCCCTCCCTCTCTCTCTCTCTCTCTCTCTCTCTCTCTCTCTTTCTCTCTCTCTCTCTTTCTCTCTCTCCTCCAATTATTAGAGATACCAGTGTTTCCTACTGTGACAGCCATTATTACATTACAAAGTTATAAAACTAGTCAGTTCCCTCCATCGCATTTCCTTATACCAAGAGATTATACAGAGGTGAGAGAGAGACCAAATCACATCATGGGCCCACTATTTTGATTCTTTAAATTAAGTTGTATTATTATTATTAATTTTTTTAGTTTAAGGACTCGAACTGAGCTGTTGGTGTTATATTTTTCATTGAAATCTCCACGAAACATGAAGAAACTTTATTTGTGTACATTATTATTATAATAAAAATTAAAAAAAAATTATATTAATTTTGATTTATTCATTATGCAAAGCAGTAGATTTCCATTTACATGCCCTCTAACGAGCTCTCTTCTTCAACTTCTCAAGTTTTTCACAGTTTTCAGCTTGTTAGTTTTCTAAGCAAGCTATTTCTTTTAAGGCTATCATACACGATGCAACATGTTGCACTGTGTATGATACCCTATTTTGTTGCATGCAACGAGTTGCTTGAAGTTGACAACCATTCAACTTGGTGCAACATTGTTGCATGTAACAATGTTGCATCGTGTATGATAGCCTTTATACTGACACACATTCATTCAATAGTGAACTGTGTGTGTGTATATAATAAAGAGAGAGAGAGAGAATTCTAATAAACACATAGTAACATGATCTCCAACAATATTGCAATGACATCACCGACAATACCAGAGCAACAAATCCACCATAATAAGATTATCTACACCATGTCCTGTTGTAGCAGGATGCGTGATGACAAACAAATAATAATAAAAATAGCTAGAATGATATCATTAGAGCCAGAGAATAATTATGTTGTTCCAGTGAAATAATAATTAATTTATTAATTGAATATAACAGGTGGGGCCATTGTGTACATGTACATTTTTAATACTTCCTTCAAAACACTAAGAAATGTAGCTCAATAGATGAAAAATTGTCAGAATAAACAGGAACTCACCAATCAGGCACAACCATACCAAACATGCAATTAAATGCAATACATGTAACTAAATATTATTGATTATCTACATGCATATAGATCTATTATAATGAAAAGAGACTTTCAATTTACTTCATCGATTAATTAATAAAGCTAGTTGATAACTGTTACTTGAGAAGGAAGTATTTGTAGATCTAATTCCAGTATTTGTATTTGTAATTGTATTTAAATAGATCTACAAAGCTGCAAACAGTATTTGTATTTGTTGTTTTCGTATTTGTATTTTTTTATTTTAAATTTTAAAGTTGTATTATTTAGTTTGACTAGTTTCTATGGATACGCATGTCATGATGATGGCTTTCTTTAAGACTCTCTCCTGTCTCTTGTTCCTCCTTCTCTCTCCCTCTCTCTCGATGGCGGCCTTACCTAGTGAGGCTCAAATGAGAGAAGCAGGCAACCGTCTCTCTGAAAAATTCCGGCAGCTGAGAACAAATGGACTGGGAGTTGATTACATGAAAGTACAAAAAGTTGATTTAAATTTTATTATTATTATTTTCTTTGCAGGATCAGTATCAGTCAGCTTCAGTCCAGTATTCTACCGTTGAAGAGGACACTTCATTGCTTTATGACGACATAGTAAGAAAGGATTTATCATTAGCAGTTTCTAAATCTCCATTTATTTATTCATTGCTAGTTTCTTGCTGCTAATCCTGAGAGACTGGTCAGCCATCACCTGAATAGGGTATTGAATCATGATTACGTTGCTTCAGCTGATACCAGTTCACCAATACCTAATTGCTGCAGGTTTGATTGTATAATACTGTATTATTTTTAGTAAATTATGAAAATAGTATTTCTGCTAAGATTATTATTGTTAGCACTATTATTGAAATAATATTAATATTTTTGCTGTCTTGTCTTGTTTTTTATTAGTAATGATGCTCATTGCTGCTATAACTGTGATGCAGCTAATAATTCCATAGCTAGAAGTTTATACAGCCAAATCTCTTCCCGAAGACATTTCTCTGTATCAAGCGTAGAGATACAATTAGGACTTAAGGACGGAGAACTCATTGAGTTTCCAAGAGTATCGTCAAATTCCACAGAAAACTGCCCTAGTATTGATCCTAGGCTCACGTTAGTATTAAAAGTCTATTTATAGTAACAGCTAAGTTACCTTTTATTATTTTAATTTTTTTGTAGTACATGGTATACTCGTGCTACTAATGTGTCTGCAGCTCCTCGCTATATTGTATTGTTTTTGAATCTTAATGGAGCCAGTAATGCCACCATTTTAAAGGAAGCTGCAATGAAACTGATCATGTCTCTTACAGACTCTGACATGGTAAATCTACACATGCACATGTATAAAACATAATGCATTTATAGTAATATAAATGTTCAGTGTGTATACAGAAAGTTTGAGCTGGTTTCCATCACAATTAGATTTTTAAGAATTTTAAAAGTTGCTTAATAATTGAGCAAAAATTCCCTGTACTATAATAGTACACAGTTTTGAGCCAAATTTTGCCAAAATTGAAAGGAGATATATAATTATGTACAAAATGTACATCATTTTGCTAATAACAGTGTGATGTGTTCTAAATTAATTATAGATATCAGTGCTTATAGTGAATAGTGATAGACAGAGGCTATGTCCAACTTCATTTTCACACGTAACAGAATCACAGAAATGGATACTATCAGGAATAATAGAGAATGAATTACTAGGCACTAGTAAGTACATGTATTTAAAACTATATGCACTATACTTCTCTCTCTCTCCCTCTTTTTTCTCTCTCTCTCTTTCTCTCCTTATTGTTTTAGTTCCAAGAAGCTATTCTAGTGCATTTCAAATGGTCCAAGGATTATTTGCTGCAGCTTGTGATTCAAATTGCAGCAATTCGACCAAAAAACTTCTCATTATGTTAACTAACAGTTCCCTTGATGATTTTGACGGAGCAAGATTTAGCAACAACACTGATTTTACTATAATCCCTTACGCCTTACACGGTAAAATAATTAATTATTATAAGCTAGAAAATTTTTTTTGTTTTTTTTAGTTATTTCAAACTCTAGTTCATTGGGTCCTTCTTATAATAATGTATTGGATATTGGGAATTATTATACACCATTCATAATGTCAGGCTCCGTCTCAACTAGTAATATTCTATCATCTGATTTCAATTCACAAGGAGGTATAGAATATAATCTTATTTACATACAACTTTATAATTTTTTTTCTATTTCTCGTTAGTTCTTTGTCTCACGCTCTCTCGTAATATCATATTATCAGACATGTTTAGGGGCGTGTTAACAATGCGGATGCCATGGCAACAGTTGTTTATTGGGATAGAAATGAGCGTGGTTGATCGACCTTCGTCTTACTACATGGTACTCCAAGGAAATGGTGAATATGTACAAAATAATGATTATTATTATTATTATTATTATTATTATTATTATTATTTTACTATACATGTAGGTCGTATTATGTATCACAGTAGATATCCTACTACTTATGTTTATGATATTGACCCCACCACCATTGAAAATAATGAAGCATTTCCAACCATCTTGAGTGCCATTTTGAAGTAAGCAGATAGTATACTGAAGTATACTGTAATAAACTGAGAGATTACTGAGATATACTGGTTTTTTCTTCTCTTTTTTTTTAGTGGTCAAAATGAATCCTTACCATTCAATAATACATTGTTATACTCTAATAATAATCAAAGTTATTTCACTCGTACTGTTCCTTCTACCTATTACTGCTGGGAGGTCCTTGATGATCTGTTGTTTCTGTCAACTTCCCGATCCTCTCCTCTTTTAAATGTATTTGCTTGTTTGGTGTTGGCTGATGAGGATCAGTCAATTGTTGATACATTTAGAGAATTTGATATTTCTGGTAATTATTATACCATTGTATCGATACATATTGATTTGATGTCCTTGCACTGTGTAGAAGGCTTGAGCTGATTCCGACTTCAATTTTTTTTAGCCATAATCATTTTTAAAACAGTCCAGTTTTTAAAAATTCTTAAGACCCATGGTTTTTTCCAAAAAATGGCTCCGGAATGATCCCCAATTTTTATTAGATTTTCAGATACATATTGATGTCCTTATGCTGTGTAGAAAGTTTGAGGTGATTCCGACTTCAATTTTTCAAGTTACAGCCATTTTAAGAAAATGCCGAAATTCTGAAAAAATCCCTGTACTATAGCCCATAGTTTTTTTCAAAAAATGGCTCCGAAATCACCCCCAATTTTTATTACATTTTCTGATACATATTGATGTCCTTATACTGTGTAGAAAGTTTGAGCTGATTCCGACTTCAATTTTTCAAGTTACGGCCATTTTAAGAAAATGCCGAAATTCTGAAAAAATCCCTGTACTATAGCCCATGGTTTTTTTCCAAAAAATGACTCCAAATCACCCCCAATTTTTATTACATTTTCTGATACATATTGATGTCCTTATGCTGTGTAAAAAGTTTGAGGTGATTCCAACTTCAATTTTTCAAGTTATAAGGCCATTTTTTTTAAATGCCAAAATTTTGAAAAAATTCCTGTGCTATAACCCATGGTTTTTTTTCAAAAAATGGCTCCAAAATCACCCCCAATTTTTATTACATTTTCTGATACATATTGATGCACTTATACTGTGTAAAAAGTTTGAGGTGATTCCAACTTCAATTTTTTGAGATACGGTCATAGAAATTACCAAAATTCAGAAAAATACCCAAGGCTATAGTCCATGGTTTAAAAAAAATGGCTCCAAAATCACCCTCAATTTTTATTACATTGTCAGATACATATTGATGTCATTATTATTATTATTAGATTCATACAGTCAAAGATCAGTCCCTATCTATCAAGATTTACTTGATGACTCATCAACTGATAGTTGTACCGAGTACTGTCAATATACTTCTCGTAATTCATTAACACTCCAACTGACCACGCCTCTAACCCCGCCTACCTCATCAAGAACCTTCCAAGAGTACATCAGTGGTTCAATGAATTCATCATACGATGATGAGGCTGTATGTCGTTTATTTATAATTATTTTTTTATTAAAAATTTTTTTGCAGAGCGGCATAGCTGAAGCAGTGTCTGTCCATTCTCGTGTTGAGAGGGTGTGGCTTAGATACTCTTACCCGTCAATAATTAGACGGTAATGAATATAATTATTAATTTTTAATTAATTATCTCATTAATATTCATAGTTATTTGACCACACCCACTGGTATATTTTTAAGTTATCGTGGTCTACAGTTATCTGATGAGTTTGATCCTAAAGGACTTCCTTCTTATATTTCTGCTATCACTAACGATAATGTCCTCTCACTCACTCCAGCATTTACTGATCCATTGTTTCCTGAATTAGGTACTTTACTCTACAGCATCAGTGAATCCGTTCGACTATCAATGTGAGTAATGGGTGTAGTTATATTATATATAGACACACCCACTTTATAGAGGAGATAGAAATCCACTTTTCAGTGTCTTATCTGCTGACGTCAGCATGAGCTCCTTAAAAGGAGATGTGGAGACGTCACTTTGGAGTAGGTTTTGTGGAGTCAGCAATAGAGAGTATGATATCATGTGATGTGTCATGTGATTGTTTATTAATCTCCAGGTGTACAGTGATTACAAGTGATGGGTACTTTGTTTTGTTACCAAATACAGTTACATCACCTCTTCATATTACAGAACACAGCGATGTTAGTATAAGAGAAATAAATTTTAAAAACTAATTAAAATTTTTCAAAACCTCTTTTCTTATGCAGTATGATGGCATTACATTATCAATGATTAACAATGGGGCATTAGTGAAGACCGGTTGTAATAATATCAATGACTTCAGCATCAGTCATGATAGATTCTATTATGTAAGTAAAAGAAATAATGACTACCATGCACTCTCTCCATTATAATAATACTGTAGGTTAACATTTCTTCCCCTGGTTGCTACATTACTGATTTTGGCTGCAGAGATTTTTGTGTAAGAATATTTTGTACATGTACAATAGCTATTATTTTTTATTAAATTGAATAGTGATTGCTGTACATGCATATCGAGGTATTGCTAATATTTCTTTTAGATTCATTCCATTTCGGGTACTACTGGCTATCTCATCGTGTCATCATTAAAATCAACTTGTTTAACTTCTGCTTCCTCACAATGCAGGGCTGGGGTAGGTGCAATTAGTCACATGATTCTCATGTGATCTATTGATATTTTTTTGTTCTCATAGCAAACTCTGTGTCAGTTCTGTGATACTTTTACTAATAGCTTAGAGTGCCCCTGCACTTGTAGGACTTCAGCATGTAACAATACCACCTACAAGTTAGTCAATAAAAGATTTATCTACAGTACATGTATGCATGTACAATTCTTTCATTCTTCTCTCTTCAGTCTTCCTGTCTGTCCTATGAAATTGGCTCCAGTCACTTATAGAAGAGCTGCCAGGAATCCAGTCATTCGAGATAATGTTATGAGCTGTCCTCAAACTTGTGCCAATCAAAATAGATTGTAGGAGAATACATGATCAGATATAGAATTACTTTATCTCTCTCTCTCTCTCTCTTCCCTCTCTCTCTCTTCCCTCTCTCTCTCTCTCTCTACTCAGTACATGTAACCCGTTATCCTGTATCTGGTGTACTGAACAGAATTCTTGTCTACCACTTAAAAATGATTCAAACTGCTGCCGCAATGCATCAGTATCATCTTGCTTTAGAGACTCATGCCCCCCTCCATCTTCTCCTAGTATGCAGTATCTCTTTATGCCATCAATCATTAATCCTGTTCATTAGGTCCCTCTCCTAGTGGTGCTTCCCTTCGGACCATAGCTTCCCTTCCAATCATAATAGGATCAATATTTGGACTAGTAACAGTTTCCTTATTTGGAAGCACTCATTTCTAGATTATGTGGAGCCCTCCTCATGTATGTTTCTTTACTTTGCTATTTCTCTCTTGATTACAAATACATGTACATGTATACATATACATATATATCCCATTATCATTGTTATTATTATTATAGGTTAATTGTATCTTTGCAATTCCTCATCAATATTAGGTAAGCTGCTCACACGATTAATGACACACCCATGCTTTTACGATAGTAATTGTACATGTAAAATAAAGACTTTATTTTTTATTATTAGTTTAAAGATACAGTAACTGTAGAGCTGACACAAAATCATCATCAATAATAAAACTTATAATTAAAAGACATGAAACTTGATTCAGTATAATGCATTATGATGTGTTCTCTATTATTTTAATTACTTACTATCTTAATGATTAATATTACATGTACATACAGTACATGTTGTAGTGAAATAAATTCTGTTATGACTGTAATTCCAATGAACTCATTAATATTCATTAGAAACACTATTCTAGGAATTAATTTTAAAGAAATATTAAAATAACATTTAGTATATCACTGTTACTCTGGCTTCTGTTAGTATTGGCTGTCATATAGCGTGGGCTACGGTTGTTTCCAGGAATTGTTCCTTAACAAAGAGAATTCGTCTTATTGTGTGCATGTATATTTACTGTGGCGCTTTCATGTACATGTTTATTAGTGTGGACAGATTGCTAACTCAAGCTGGTTGTACCTAAGACTTGCTTTCTAACTTTCATTGTTCTGTGGACTGAAAACCTGTACAAAATCAAATTTTGGAAGTAAGTTTAACCTTTTTAGAAAATTACATGTACATGGTAGGAAAATATCTTTTTTCCAAAAAGTATAAAGTATAAAATGTAGACCATGTATCAAGCCATAGGCTTCATGCTTTTTTCCCTTTTATGAAGCTATGGCTGCAGTAATGAGCAGGGCTCAGATAGAAATCAAAGACACAACATACAAAGTCACTGTACCCAATGACCCAATAGCCAGGCTGATGTACTACTTCAATTGCATCTGCACTTGCATTGAACCTGATGATGATTATACTATACGTCGTCTGAGAGATTATAAAAATTATTCTCGATTGACTAGTGAAGAAGAAGCTAAGCTTATTGAAATATGTCAAGCTCTTGGTCCTGACAAAGTAAAGAAGGTAATATTTTATGAAGTAAAGAGCTGTGGATCGTTAAGTAATAAATTTGTTGAGATAAAAGCTGCTAAAACGGATGTGGTCGTAACAGAATCTTTCTTTATTGGAGGGCACTGGAGAAAAATTGTCAAAGTGATGTTTTTTCAGAAAAACTGGATGGTTAATAACTATTATCAGCCATTTATATCTCTTCGAAGGAGGCATCATCCTGCTGTGCGCAAAAAGAGCAGCTGCTCAATCCAGTGAAGTTTTAAGCTACACAAACATAGTACTAAATACAGTAAATGCTGTTTTATTGAACTTCTAACTTAGCATCACACTTGCTTTATATATTAGTTATACTATTGTTGTAGATCAGTAGATAATTCATTATTTCTTGCTATTATCTAATCATGTCATTGTAGTTTTTCAAAAAAAGTCATTGCATTAATTGATGCATTGATTCGAGAAAGTTGCTATGGAGTAGCCATTACAAGATCTATCCTATAATTCAAACTGTTATTTAATTACTGAAATTATTCTCGATTGACCAGCCAAGAAGAAGCCCAGCTTATTGCGATATGCCTTGCCCTAAGCCCTGATAAGCTAATTGGATCAATCTTCCATCCTACTGATGATTGTGGCTCATCATCCAATAAATTTGCTGAGATAAGTGCAGTCAAGACTGATGTGCTTGTAACCGACTCTCTCCTCATTGGAGGGCAGCAGAGAAAGGTTCAAAGCATAATGTTTTTTGAGAAGAGGTGGATGGAGAACAACTTCATTGAGCCACTTAAAGCAGTGCAGAGGAGACTCGCCTCTCCACCACACAAGAAAGTGCTATTTAGTAAAGATGTTGCTAACATAAAACTTCTATTGCTTGCTGCTGTTTACCGATAGTTACATTATAGACTTTATAAGACTTAAAATTGAGCTGTCATTGTATTCATGTTGTGTGCTAAGTAGTTCAAATGCCATAATCTGTAATAGAGATTTGTTTGTCATTGTAGTATGTACACTGTTTACTTAGCATGCATTATTCCAGGAATTGTCATGAATAAAAACTAGTATTTATAGACAGGTCTTGGTCTAGTGTCTAGATCATATGACTACTAAGTTCTGCTTTTCTCTCTCTTAATTGTCCTTTCACTGAGCATTAAACTGGTTTTCTAAGTATTTTATAGTGTTCCTGATTGTATTTCTGATGTTTAGTTGCTTTAATGTAAAATGTCATTAAACTTTTTATGCATTTCTATATTTCATTATTGTACGTAGTTATGGCTGCTGTAATGGGAAGGACTCAGGTACAGATAAAGGATGTAACCAGAAGAATCGTTGTACCCGCTGATCCAATAGCAAAGCTTATGCACTACTTTGATTGTGTCTGCAGTTGTGTTGAACCCGATAGTGACTACACTATACGTCGTCTCAGAGATTATGAGAATTATCATCGATTGACCAGCGAAGAAGAGGCCCAGCTTATAGTCCTCTGTCTTGCTCTCAGCCCTGACAACTTGGTTGGATCAATATTCTTTCTAGCAAATGATTGTGGATCACTGCCAAACAAATTTGTTGAGATAAGTGCTGTCAAAACAGATCTTCTGGTGACCAAATCTCTCCTCATTGGAGGACAGCAGAAAAAAGTACAAAAAGTCATGTTTTTTGAGAAGAGGTGGATGGAGACCAACTTCATTGAGCCAATTAAACCAGTCCAGAGGAGACTTAACCCTCCCCCACGTCATTACAGTCCTCCTGCTCGCCGTAGGGAAAGCAGTTCCTGCACTATACTCTAAAGAATAAACCATTGAACTATTAGTAATGCTATTTTAGTATAGTAGATCTATATATAACTAGCTATATTGCATTTAGTTAGTATTGTGTCATCCCTGCTATCAATATAATATTTTAGCTTTGTAAGTGGTTGTTTACTAGTATTGCTAGTCAGACCATTCCCCAGGCTACAGTCATACTGTAGGCTGGGGAATGAGAACTAGTTGTTTACAGGAACAAGTACATGTAGTAGTTTTGGCTTGATATTGTATAGCTGAATCTCATGTGCCAATTGTTTATTGTTATAAAGCCTTATAGATTTTCTTAGTATTATTTCAATTGCTACTATATTGTTTGAAATAATAAAGTGTTAGATTCAATGGTGTACGTATCAAAATTGCACAGCAAGCGCTTAATTTTTTTAACTTACAAAACTCACAGAAAAGGATTTACACATGGTTGATCCAAATGTTTTGTACCATTGTGTTTTTATGTGATGTGTCTTTGTATGCCACTCCCAATGTAATCATAGAATTTATTGTTGTACATTATTCATATTGCATGGATCACATGACTGAAAAACAAGCATGTAGCTTAAGCATGATGGCTTATCAGTGGAGAGTCAGGAGAAGACAGAAATACAAGTCAATGGGGAGCAGGTCAAAGTCTCTGTACCCAATGACCCCATAGCAACCTTCAGTCATGACTCATGTACTACTTCAACATTGTCTCCAGCTGCTTCACTTAGCTTAAAGGTAGTCAATTAGCTGATTTTTTAAGTTGTCTCAGAGACAATTAGAATTATTCTCAACTGACCCATGAAGAAGAGGTCCAGCTAATAAAACATTCTCTTATTTATAATCCAGACGCCATGACTGGAGTCATAATAAGCAAATGCTATAATTTGTGGTTTTTTCTTTAAAATGGCTCCAAAATCACCCCAAATTTTTATTACATTTTCTGATACATATTGATGTCCTTATGCTGTGTAGCAAGTTTGAGCTGATTCTGACAAATATTTTTTGAGTTACAGCCATTTTAAGAAAACACTAAAATTCTAAAAAATACCCAAGGCTATTATAGCCCATGGTTTTTTCCAAAAAATGGCCCCAAAATCACACCAAATTTTTATTACATTTTCTGATACATATTGGTGCCCTTATGCTACGTAGAAAGTTTGAGCTGATTCCAACTTCAATTTTTCAAGTTACGGCCATTTTAAGAAAATGCCAAAAATCTGAAAAATACCCAAGGCTAGCCCATGGTTTTTTCCAAAAAATGGCTCCGAAATGACCCCCAATTTTTATTACATTTTTAGATGCATATTGATGTCCTTATGCTGTGTAAAAAGTTTGAGGTGATTCCGACTTCAATTTTTCAAGTTATGGCCATTTAATCCTGTTCATTAGGCACTTCTCCTGGTAGCACTTCCCTTCCAATAATAATAGAATCAATATTTGGACTAGTAACAGTTTCCTTATTTTGACACACCCATTTTCAAATTACACTTCCTTGTATTCCTATCAACAGTAGGTAAGTTACATATTATTAATGCCACACCCATACCTTTACAGTACTATACTGTGTACAAGTAAAGTAAAAATTTATTCTTTATTATCAGTTTAAAAATAACTGTAGAGCAGACACAAAATCATTATCAAATTATTATTATTATTAAAAGACATGAAACTAAATCCAGTATGTGTATAGATTATGATGCATTGATCATGTACATGTATGTCTATTATGTTATACTTGTATCTTAATGATTAATATTATGTGTACATACATGCACATGTGGTAAAATGAATTCTGTTATCATTGTGATTCCAGTGAACTCATTAATATTCTTTATAGAAGCACTATACCAGGAATTAGTTTTAAGTAATAAAATAAAATAACATTCTGTGTATATTACCATTGCATCATGTACATACTGCATGGTTTCTATTGGTATTGGCTGTCATTCAGTGTGGGATACGTTGTTACTACGGTTGTTTCCGAGAATTGTTCTTATACAACGAGAGAACTCGTCTTATTGAGCTTATATTATAGAACTACATCTACACTTATGTTTATTGCTAGCTCAAGCTGAGTGTAGAACTTGATTCTTACTGCGATTACTCCGAGGACTGAAAACTTGTAGATTTTAGAAGTAAGTGTAGTGATAGTATTAAAGTAGTGACATCATTTTTGTGCATAAGTTTTATACTTTTCTTTTTATGAAGTTATGGCTATGTGGATGGAAAGAGCTGAAGTACAGGTAAAAGATATTACCACAGCAGCAACTGTCCCCAGTCACCCAATAGCCAAGCTTATGTACTACTTCAATTGTATCTGTTCTTGCATTGAACCTGATGATGATTATACTACTATACATCGTCTCAGAGATTTTCAATATTATTATCGACTGACCAGTGAAGAAGAAGCTAAGCTTATTGCAGCCTGTCAAGCTCTTGGTCCTGATATAGTAAAGGATGTGATCTTTTTTGAAGTAGAAAGCTGTGGAGGTTCTGCCGGCAATAAATTTGTTGAAATAAAAGTTGCGAAAACAGATGTAGTTGTAGCAGAATCTTTCTTTTTTGGTGGGCACCGGAGAAAGATTATATGCGTCATGTTTTTTGTGCATGAATGGATAACCAAAAATTATTATGAGCCATTTATAGCACTTCGAAGAAGACGTCACTTTGCACTGCAAAAGAAGAGTAGGTGCTCAATCCAGTGAAACTAAGAGCTATACAAAATAGATGCTATTTGACTGAACTATAATTTAGTGACAGATTTACTTAGCATTATATATATTATATATTGTTATAGATTAGCGTAGATAATTATTCTAATTAATCTAAAGTATAGTTCAAATTCATTGCAATAATTAATATTTGATTCTAAAAACGTTCAGTAACAATAGCAATAATATGCCATTGCAATCTTCAAACTGTTATTCAGTTTGCTATGTAGAAATCATGAATTCACTATACTATTTCCTAGAATCACGTGATCTCTTTTGCATGTAAAGATAAATGAACTGATGCATTTACAGTATGTGTGTACAGTGTGTGGGGCATTTGTGTACCATCTATACTGTATATGATTATGGATTACATGTATATAGTACATGTAACCATTATCCTGTAGCTGGTGTAATGAAAAGAACTCTTGCATTAGTAAAACAGAGTTAAAAGACATGAAATAGTTAATGTATATATTAGTTACTTACTATCTTAATGATTAATATTATGTGTACATACATGTAGTGAAATGAATTCTGTTATGACTGTAATTCCAATGAACTCATTAATATTCCTTAAGCACTATTCCAGGAATTAGACTAGTTTTTTTTAAATATTAAAATAACACTTAGTATGCATCACTGTTATTCTAGCCTCTGTATTGGCTGTCATTTAGCGTGGGCTGCAGTTATTTCTTGGAATTTTTCCTGAACAAAGAGAATCTCAGTGTCTTTTTGTGTGTGTATATTTTGTCATAGTTTTATTGTACACTAATAATAGTGGCAGATTGCTAGCTCAAGCTGGTTGTATCATAGATATAAGACTTGCTTTCTAACTGTTATTACTCCGTGGACTGAAAACCTGAACAAAATCAAATTTTAGAAGTAAGTTTAGCCTTTTTAGATAATTGCATGGTAGAAAAATCTTTTTTGCAAGATTACTTTTTTGTATGTCAAGCCATAAGCTTTGTGCTTTTTTCTTTTTATGAAGCTATGGCTGCAGTAATGAGCAGAGCTCAAATAGAAATTAAAGACACTTCTGTTGGGACCACTGTACCCAATGATCCAATAGCCAGGCTCATGTACTACTTTGATTGCATCTGCACTTGTGTTGAACCTGATGATGACTATACTATACGTCGTCTGAGAGATTATAAAAATTATTCTCGATTGACCAGTGAAGAAGAAGCAAAGCTTATTGAAATATGTCAAGCTCTTGGTCCTGACAAGGTAAAGAATAAAATATTTCATGAAGTAAAAAGCTGTGGATCATTAAGTAATAAATTTATTGAAATAAAAGCTGCCAAAACAGATATGGTTTTAACAGAATCTTTCTTTATTGGTGGGCACCAGAGAAAGATTGTCAAAGTGATGTATTTTCAGAAAAGCTGGATGGTTAATGCCTATCATCAGCCATTTATATCTCTTCGAAGGAGGCATCATCCTGCTGTGCACAAAAAGAGCAGCTGCTCAATCCAGTGAAGTTTTAAGCTACACAAACATAGTATTAAATACAGTAAATGCTGTTTTGCTGAACTTATGATTTTAGTACTGAACACACTTGCTTTGTATATTTATAGTTATATAGATACTTTTGCTATAGATCAGTAGATTCCTATTAATCTTGTATACTATAGTTCTTTAAAAATTTATTGCATTTATTGATGCATTGATTCTGAGAAAGTTGCTATGGAGTATAGCCATTGCAAGATCTATCCTATAATTCAAACTATTGTTCAGTTTGCTATGTAGAAATTATGAATCAACTATACCATTTCCTAATAATGTCAATAAGATAAATGAATTCAAGCATGTACAGTGTACATATATGCCGTCTACACGGCTTGAATTGATCATAAATTTGAGTCCAAACTGACTGTAGATCAATATAGCCTTAGCTGAAGTATACAAGTAAGTTTACAGCTTTGCCTGCATTTTGATGATTGTGTGAATTTCTACTTCAAGCTATCTATATCTATAGCTTTCTTAATTTTGATCTGTCACCATAAAACCAGCTATGGCTGCAATGATTAACAGAGCACGCATTGAAGTCAAGGAAGTTGGCACGACAGTCACTGTACCCAGTGACCCGATAGCTAGGCTCATGTACTACTTCAATTGTGTTTGCTGCTGCGTTGAGCCTGATAGCGACTACACTATACGTCGCCTCAGAGATTATCAGAATTATCATCGATTGACCAGCGAAGAAGAAGCCCAGCTTATTGCAATATGCCTTGCCCTAAGCCCTGATAAGCTAATAGGATCAATCTTCCATCCTACTGATGATTGTGGCTCATCATCCAATAAATTTGTTGAGATAAGTGCAGTCAAGACGGATGTGCTTGTAACCGACTCTCTCCTCATTGGAGGGCAGCAGAGAAAGGTTCAAAGCATAATGTTTTTTGAAAAGAGTTGGATGGAAAACAACTTTATTGAGCCTCTTAAAGCTGTCCAGAGGAGACTCAACCCTCCACCATGCAGACAAGAGCCTAAATGTGCTATTCAGTAAAGATGCTGCTAGACCATATCCTTTTCTAACTTTTGCTGCATAGACTATAGTTTATATTTGGTATTACATTTTGTATTGCTATTGCCATGTACTGTGTATAGTATTACATCAGTTTTTATGACATGCTGTTATTATTCATTGGTCTATCCTTTCAGTATGTGCTTTAGAGTTGAATTGTATTCATAGTGTGTAAACACATTTTTCCAACTTGTACCCTTAGAGTACACACTGTTTATTTAGTATAGCATTTCCTGTCATGAATCTTAATCGTAATATTTGCAGACAGACCTTGGCCCCACAGTAGACTGTCATAAAGATACTAAGAATTATTGACTCCTTTCTGTTTGTTGTCCTGAAACTGATTACTAAACTAATTTTCTAAGTATGTCAGTGTATATATCTGATTGTTTAGTTGATTACCAATAAGCAATCTTCCTTTATATTGTAATGAGTATTGTGCATTTCTATATCATTCCATTGCAGTTATGGCTGCAGTCATGGGAAGGACTCAGGTAAAGATAAAGGGTGTAGGCAGATCAGTCATTGTACCCGGTGACCCGATAGCCAGGCTCATGTACTACTTTGATTGTGTTTGCACTTGCGTTGAACCCGATAGTGACTACACTATACGTCGCCTCAGAGATTATCGAAATTATCATCGATTGACCGGTGAAGAAGAGGCCCAGCTTATAGTCCTCTGTCTTGCTCTCAGTCCTGATAACTTGGTTGGATCAGTATTTCATCAAGTGAATGATTGTGGATCATATGCAAACGAGTTTGTTGAGATAAGTGCTCTCGAAACAAACCTTGTTGTAACTGACTCTCTCCTCATTGGAGGACAGCAGAAAAAGGTGCAAAAAGTCATGTTTTTCGAGAAGAATTGGTTGGACAACAACTTCACTGAGCCTCTTAAAGCAGTGCAGAGGAGACTCAACCGTCCACCTCAACATCATATTGAGCCTTCCAAACGTCATTACAGCCTAGTCAGGCTGTGCCTGACCCTCACAATACTAATTACAGCCCTCCTGCTCGCTGTAGTGAAAGCAGTTCCTGCACTATACTCTTAAGAATGAACCATTGAACTATTAGCAAGAGTTGCTATTAGTAATACTACATTACCTTTTAGTATGTAGGAGTGCAGGCCTAATTTAGTTAGTATTGTGTGGTCACTGTAGTTATTTCGTGTGTAGGCCTAGGCCGGGTTGTTGACAGGAACAAGTAGACTATATGTAGCCTTTACATAGTCTATTGATAGTAAACTTTTGGCTTGATGCCGAATAGTGTCGCCATTGTTATGATTATTATGGAGCTCTGTAGATATACTTAGTATTGCTATTATTCATTTGAAATAAAGTTTTAATGGATGTCAAAATTGTATAATGCAATGTGCACAATAACAGAGACACAAATACATAATTTTTGACATTAATATTTGTAGAACTAATGGATCAAATATAATACAAGCATGTTTGCCTTATGATGCATTCTAATTTCAGTAATATACCTAAGTAGATCTAAGTTTATAGAATTCCTTACTGTACATACATTATTCACTATTACAACATGAACGTTATCGCATGATAGGCAAAACAGCTTTTGTGAGTGTAGAAATTGAATGGCATCATCAGTTGAAAGTCAGGAGAAGACAGAAATACATGTCAATGGGGAACAGTTAAAGTCTCTGTACCCAATGGTCCCTTAGCAACCTTCATGTATACTACTTCAACACTGTCTCCAGCTGCTTTGAGTTAGCTAGTCAAATATTTAGCTGATTCTTTAAGTCGTCTCAGAGATTTTAAAAATTATTCTCAACTGACACGTGACAAAGAGGTCCAACTAATACATTACTGTGCTACCAATGATCCCGAGAGCATAACTGAAATTATTATTATGGAATTATAGAATTGTCATGTACTGTGTATAGATCTAC